GAATCGTAGAAAAGTAGGGTTGGAAAGGACTTCCAGAGGTCATCTAGTCCAACTTCCTGCCTGAGGCAAGATCATCCCTATCCAAACCACCCCATACAAATCTTTGCTTAACCTATGACTAAAACTAGACGGTGAAGTCTGTTACACAACTATAAGGCATAGTATCCTGACCTGCCACTGATAAACAGGGGGGCAATGTCAGTCCATGTCCTGCTGTTGTCAGAGTTCTTAAATATGCTTGAGAGATCCAAGGAAGATGGCAAAATCCTCTAGGTAGGAATATCTGGGTTTCAGTCCCAGCAGAAGTGTTGGCACACTCCAGCTAAAATCCTCAGCCTTGGCTGTAGCCAACACCCAGTGTTTCTGAAGAACGTGAAATATTGGAAACCAAAGCTGTTCTTGATCCTGTCTATTCCTTTCCAGTATTGAAGCAGTTCTTTATCTTGGTAAACTGTTTTATTGCTAGTTTAATTAATGTCTTGTAACATAGAGTAAGCATAAGGAAAAATTTGGTTTGAAGTTGTAAATTTATATTCAGTTTGGTCTTACAAAACCTGACCTTTAATAACCCCCAAAATAGATCTGTAATTCTGCTTCTAATTTTTACCATCTTTGATATAATTTGATCAAGTTTTACTCCTCTAAAGGATTCAAGAGAGCTGATATGAACTCACCAAACTTGTCTGTGGTGATAGAAGTTGCTTTTGTCTTCTGCTTTTTTCGCCTTGCAAAAAATGCTTTATTTCCAGGTCCAGTCACCATTTTTGATTCCTCAGGGTCTCCCTGCTGCTTTGCAATTTCTTCTTCTTGTAAGTTCCTTTGGAAAAGAGAACTTCTCCTATCAATCCATTTATATAGCTGCCCTGAAACATTTAGAGGAAAATGTTTCTTAAGCCTGAAAGTGGTTAGAAAGAAGTGATGCCTTTGGTTTGTGCCAAATTCCTCCTGAGGTTCTGGCTCTAAGCAGCACTCTACCCCAACACCACCACGTGACCCCTAAATATTTTCTCTTTATGCAGGAATGGTCACTTGAGATGGATCTCTATGGCAGGTATGCTCAACCCCCTGCCCGCGGGTCAGATTTGCTCCCCAGTACTGTCATTTAGCCCACAGGGCTCGCAAGAGATGTATGGGGAGCCCTGCAGACCATGGCCCTGCACACTAGATTGGGCACCCAGGTTGGCGTGAGACCCAGTCCCAGCACTCAGGGCTGAGCAGCTGTAGCATGGCACCCCAGAGTTCGATCCCTGGTGAAGGTGGTGCAGGGCCTCTGGAACAGGCAGTACAGGTCCCAGTTTGGCCCATGGACCAGTCCCTCACCATTCTTCTGGCCCACAGGGCCAAAACTATAAGCATCACTGTCTATATGGCATTCAGTCTTGATATCCCTTTAGCATTTTTCTTGAAGAGGGCAAGCTGTACCCAAGTATTTTAGAAGCCACTGACATGTAATAAATCTCAGAACAATAAAACATAAACTAATGTTATATCCATATTGTTCTGCTAAGGACAAGCAGGATGACCTGGATAACCATGAAGTTTACTTGATATCAGTTATGAATAAACTAACTGAAAGATTGATATGGGTGGCATCATTATTATCAGCAGTCAACGTGCTGTATGGAAAATAGAGATCACAGATGTCTAGTAAAGTAGGGTTGAAAGGGATCTCTAGAGGTCATCTAGTCCCTGCCTGAGGCAAGAGCATCCCTATCTAAATCATCCCATACAAATGAATCCTGTCACATGACTATAAGGCATAGTTCCCTAACCTGCTACAGGTAAAGCAGGGGGCAATAGCCACAGCCTACCTGAACAGGGTGCGGGGCCCAGAGCAAATCAGCCCATGCAGGGCCCTGCCCCTGCTCCAATCCTGTGTGCCCCAAACCTGAAGAAGATGCTGCCGCCATTGACAGCAGCAGCATTGGTGGTGGGAGGTAGTGAGCAGCTTCGCAGGGCCCAGGGCGGTCACCCCGATTCACCCCTCCGCCCTGCATCCCCCAGGGATGGCCCTGGCAATGGCGGCCAGTGTCCTGCTGCCGTGAGAGTTGTTTAAAATATGTTTGAGAGATCCAAGGAAGATTCCCCACCACACTACAGCAGAAGGAAAACACTCCACAATCTATATCAATCTACTATAGGGAAAATTGCTTCCTAACACCACATGTGAAGATCAGCCTGACCCTGAGTGAAGGTACATGACTGTCTAGCCAGGAATATCTGGGTTTTAGTCACAGCAGAAGCAATGGCACACCCCAGTCAAAATCCCTGGTCTTAGCCCCAACAAGCAGTGCCTCAAAGGTGAAACCACCCTCCTCAACATGAGTAGCAATTGCGGGGGGGAGATTGCTTCCCAGCTTCATGTGGCAACAAGCAAAGCCCAGAAGCATGAGTAATATTAAATACCCTCCATTATTCTGCTTGGCAACCTGGGAACAGCAAACATGACTCCACACATCACCTCCTCTTTCTAGACAACCAGAGCTCCCCTTTCTGGGTCCCCTTGCAAATCTTATCCTAGCTTCTTTAATCTTTTTTCATAACTAAGCCAGTTGTAAAGCTCTGTTTCATTCTGGTGAGGCTACATCTGTGGTTGTGTCCAGTTTTGGGCCCTACACTATAGAAAGGATGTGGACAAATTGAAGAGAGTCCAGTAGAGGGCAACAAAAATGGTTTGGAGACTAGGGGACATGACTTACATTGAGAGGCTGAGGGAACTGGATTTATTTAGCCTGCAGAAGAGAAGACTGAGAGGGGATTTAACAGCAACCTTTAACTACCTGAAGTGGGGTTCGAAAGAGGATGGAGGTAGACTGTTCTCAGTGGTGGCAGGTGACAGAACAAGGAGCAACTGTCTCAAGTTGCAGCAAGGGAGGATAGATTGGCTGTTAGGAAAATCTCTCTCACTAGCATGGTGGTAAAGCACTGGAACAAGTCACCTACAGAGGTGTTGGAATCTCCATCCTTGGAGGTTTTTAAGGTCCAGCTTGACAAAGCCCTGGCTGGAATGATCTAGTTGGGGATGGCCCTGCTTTGAGCAGGGGGTTGGACTACATGTCCTCCTGAGGTCCCTTCCAACCCAAACTTCCTTTGATTCTGCTGTTGCTGAGTATGGTCCTCTCCGATGTCAACCTGATGCTACTTGGCCTTCTAAGAGCTTTGAAGGAGTTGGTCTGTAAGATGCCCCACTGCCCTGCCCTCTGGCTAATAAATCTCAAGAAAGAAGGGAAGTAGTCTGTTGTGGGGCTGCTAATCCCCCAGCACAGACAGGAACTTGGATGGGAGATATACATATACACATGAACACATATACATATTATCTACCTATCACCTATCTATCCATCTATCTACGTACTACCTATCTCACTGTCTATCTAGCTCTACTTTGGTGAGGGTATAAGGTGCAAATCTACTCAGCCTCCTACTAAAAGCCTTGAAGGGACCAGTCTGTAAGATGCTCCCTGCCCTGCCACCTGGCTATTAAGTCTGGAGCAGGAATGGGGCTGGTCAGCTACAGGGCTGCTAAACCCCAGCATGGGCAGGGCTGGGGCAGAGTCACTCCAGTCCTCACAGGCCCTCGGGCACAGTCCAGGGTAGGGAACACTGCACATGGCATGCAAGGGACTGAAACCTGTGTGCACGTGTACTGGTGTGTGTGTGTGTGTGAATGCTGAAGTGTGTGCATGTGTATGTGCTGAAGTGTGTACGTGTACTGAAGTTTGTGTATGTGTGTGTGCAAACACGTATCATGTGTATGTGTGTGCATCTGTGTGTACATGTACTTGAAGTGTGCGTGTGCATGCGTGTGTGTGCTGTGTGTGTAGGAGTGTTGCCAACTCATGATTGTTGGTGTTCTTAAAGTCTACGCTTCAGGAACGTGAAAAACTTAGCACTTTCTTTTATTTATATCTTTCTAGATATATAGATAAAAGAACGAGCTAAGTTCATCACAGTCACATAGTCATCTCCTTCTCTCTCTATAGAGAGCCAGCCTTGTGCCAGGATAGACAGTTGCACTACAGATATTCAAGCCATCTCTTCCTTGCTTCAGGTCTCCTAAGTGACCTGTATTTCCTAGTCATTCACAAGGGCACTTGCTTACAAGCTTAATTTGTTTACAACTAAAATATTTTTAAGTCCTACAAAACCATCTTCTCCCTTAGGCTCCATCACGAACCCTAAGGTCAGCAGAGAGCAACATCCCACGAGTACCATGAGTGTAGCAAGTTCGCTTGGCAACATGTGAGAAGCCATTCTCAAAAAGTTGCTCCAACGCTCCGGACCTTCTAGATAGATGGAGAGACAGACAGACAGAAAGAGATAAAAGAAAGAGCTAAGTATTTTCACACTCCTGAAGCGTACGCTTCAAAAACAACGCCAAAAAAATCACGAGAGTTGGCAACACTTTGTCCGCACTAAACTCTGTGCATGTGGCAAACGGGAAAGGCGGGAAGATCACGTGAAACACCACCTCCCCTCGCCATCTTGAGTAAGGGCAGGGAGCCGACAAAGGAACAAGGGAGGGCTGAAGCGACGCAAATGGGATTTCCACCCAAATCAAAGATGGCTGCCCCCTTTCCCCGGCCCGAGGCATCGGCAGCGCTCTGCCCTCCGCCCCACGGAGCGTCTATGGTGCGGGCGGCTGACGGTCTGCCGCAGGGGCAGCGATGTGAAGCCCAGCAGTGGCGGTAGCACGGGGGGCACCGTGCCACAGATCCTGAGCAAGGTCTGGGGGTCGGGGGAGCGGACCGCTCCAAGCCCCCAGGCCGGGGGGCTCTCCCCCACCCCCTCCATCCCCCCATGTCCCTGAGCATGCTGGTGTGCAGGCGTGTACACACGTGTACATGTCTGTGTCCCAGTCTGGCCCCTGCCTGAGCTGGGGGCTGTGGCATTAGCAGCCCTGCACCTGACTGGCGTCTCCCCTTCTTCTCTCCCCACCCCTGCCTTGCACCCCAGGATGGGCAGAGCTTCCAGGTGGTGGAGGAGGAGAGCTTCACCAAGAGGATCCTGCCCCAGCACTTTAAGCACAACAACATGGCCAGCTTCGCGTGGCAGCTCAACTGGTGTAAGTGGATGGTTCATGGATGAATGGGAGAAAGAGTCCAGTGGAGGGCAGTGGAAATGGTTTGGGGGCTGGGGCACAAGTCTTGTGAGGACATGCTGAGGGAAATGGGGTTATTTAGTCTGGAGAAGAGGAGGGGTGGGGGAGGGATTTAATAGCAGCTTTCAACTACCTGAAGGGGTTTTCAAAAGAGGATGGAGCTAGACTGTTCTCAGTGGTGGCAAATGACAGAACAAGGAGCAGTGGTCTCAAGTTCCAGCAAGGGAAGTTTAGGTTAGAAGTTAGGAAAAACTTTCTCACTCGGAGGGTAATAAAACACTGGAACAGGTTACCCAGAGAGGTGGTGGAAGCTCCATCCTTGGAGGTTTCTTAAGACCTGGCTAGACAAAGCCCTGGCTGGGATGATCTACTTGGGGCTGGTCCTGCTTTGTGCACGGAGCTGGGCTAAATGCCTCCTGAGGTCCCTTCCTACATCAGTTGTCTATGGTTTAAAGTGCCCTGCTCTGCACTGCCTTTCTCCCCTTCTCCGTCTACCTGCTGCTGAGTGAGGCATCCCTATGGGCCTGCTGAGCCTGACAGGTGTATTAGATTAGTGCCCCACCATCACAAAATGACCTCAAGCTCCTTCCTATAGCCGTAGAGCCATGATTCTCCACCAGGACATTAATTCTCCTCCCACCCACCCCCTCGCAGGGGATGCCTCAAGATCCTTTTGAGGGTGTGTTTATCAGCACTGTTAGGTGTACAGATGTGTCTTGCCAGGTAGCACCCTGGCAGTTTCATGTAGGAGTCTGTGGTTGAGGTTTTTCAGAGGTCTTGGCAACAGAAGAAATGCTCCTGATGTTTTTCTGGAGTCAAAAGAGTGAAAACAAAGAGGTGGCATTTTCCCAGCAGACTCTCTCCAGATGTGCCTAGAGTCTAAAAGTTGAGAAGCACTGCTTCAGGCGAGCACTTCTATGCTGGTTACCACGTGCACACATCTTGGATGCATCTTTGGGTTTGGGATCTGTCCTTGGTGTTCCCCCCTTCCTCAAACTGAACTGAATCCCGAACTGTCTGGCATCCAGAACAGCCCTGGATCTAGGGTAGACCTTGCTTAGGTGGGAGCTGAGCTGTCACAATATAGAGGCTGTATCTGGGCAAGAGACGTGGCATAGTGAAGCACCTGTGGAAGTAAGAGATGCTCAAGGCACTGAGGTTGATAGGACCCAATATCTTCACTTCCATGAACAATGATAATTCTGAATTGATTTTTTTCAAGATGGAGTTGCCTTGAGACCATCCCACATAGCTTTTGGTTGTCTTCATAATTAGCTGTACTCTGGACCTGTTTGACCCCTGAATAGAAGGAGCAGGGGGTGGAGGTTTAACATTTGTCTAACCTGTTCATATCTTTTCCTAGTATAGAATGAAAGTGAGACCTGCCTTGATGGTCTGCTCGTGGAAGTTAATGAAACCCAAATGCTCCCCTGTGGATTTAAGGGAGGAGTTTCTACTTGGTTAGTTAATTATCCAAAGTATAGGCCACCCTTTCCAACAAAGGGTGTAAGAGAATGGTAAGAGAACAGAAGAATATAAAGCAGGGGAGGGCACAAGAGAACAAAACACCTTAAAAGGGGTATTAGAATGTCAACGTAAAACAGACCCATTGAGTGGTATCTCTGCCTCGCTTTGTTTGCTAAATGCCTGCCCAAATAGGAAGGTCTTACAGTGCCTCTGAAAGATGTCTAAACTTGGGCACTGGCAGGCCTCACAAGGGAGGAAGTTCCAGAGCTTTGGAGCAACTTTTTGAGAATAGCTTCTCACATGTTGCCAAGTGAACTTGCTATGCTCATGGTACTTGCAGGATGTTGCTCTCTGCTGACCTTAGGGTTTGTGATGGGGCTTATGAGAGCTGAAGCAAGGAAGAGATGGCTTGACTATCTATAGTGTGACTATCTATCCCAGCACAAGGCTGTCACAGGCCTAGTTCAGTGTTTATACAGTGACTGAGCAGTAGTTAAAGAAAAGGTTTGTGGAGTCTTCTATGCATCATTGAGTACAGCACAGCAAAACTGCTCTGTGTGATTAATCCAGACTGATTCCACTTGGCTGAAGGGTAGCTTTTCTCTTGAGTGAAGAATTTCTTGTTGTTTTGTGGATAAAACAGCTCAGTCCACATCTGAGGGGAAAACTTTTGTGTTGTTCTATTCATTAAATGACTCAGGATCTGATCTCTTTGCTGTCTGTTGAAAAGGAACAATCTTTTAAAGGGGTAAATGTTAAATTTTCCGCTTGGGTTTCACTCCAATTCACACCAATTTGGAAGTGGCTGGAGGGCCAGAGGGCTTCAAAATGATGGCCAGTGTCCTAACTTTTATTGGGTGCTAAAGTGCAGGTGGAAGCAAGTGATTTAGTTTTTAAGGTCCCAAGTTATCTATAGGCAACCAGTAGCCTGCTATCTTTAAGAATGCATAATAAACAATCCCATCACATTGACTGTCTTGTTTATTATCAGCCTGCATCCATCTTTGAGGATGGTGATTGCAAAGATGGCAGCAGAGACACGCTGATAATTTTTGAAATCCTGAGATTTCCTTGATTCTAGGATGTTGACTTGTACTGAGGTTGAGTATAGGATATAAAATGTACAAGTGCAATGTAATGCCTGCGCTTGTATTTTTGGTCTGAAATTCAGAGTTCCTTTTAAGACTGAAATGTTGGAGGCTTATGAGTAGTTCCCAGCAAAGAGGATTGCAGTTCTTCTTCCATTGTTTTTTCTTACCCACCCTCTACCATCTGTGCCTCACAAGACTACAACCTTTGTTTCTAGATGTAGGCCTCACACTTGCCTTCTACCACCTTTTCTACCTGAATACTAAAGTAATGTAATTTATGTGGGACTAAATTGCACAGCAATGTTAAAGCTGCAACTCGCTTATTAAGCAGGATTTTACATGAGTAACCTGCAGCTGATGCTGTATGACATGCATCATTTGCATCTCTGTTTCTGGGTGGTATAAAAGGTGTAGAATTTTGCTTTGCAAAAACAAAAATTTCCCTTTTAAGGCCAAGTGGCATAAAAAAAACCACCTATGTTCCTATAAGATGGCAATTGTGCCATCTAAATTAACATAAACAGGAGGGGTCTAGAATTGGGGCATTATTTTATGGAGGATCTTCTTGCACTGGCTTCCTGAATTGGTGTGCTAGAATCTTAATTTGTGTTGGACCATGCTGCAAAGCCCAGTTTTTGACTAGAAGGGTGGTATAGGGGTAGGTTAATGATCCTTAAAGGCAAAGCAGAGGAAGGAAAGGGATAATAAGCCTTTTTGGGGTTTGGCAGTGGAAGAAAAGACGTTTAGATTGTTTTCACTCTTTGTTCCTCAACACACATTTATACATTCAGTCTAGTTTGCCAAGTGGACCCTATCTTCAGTGAAAGCCTACTTAATAGAAGCCAGAAATGTTATCCTTCACCTTTATTACTAACTCTCCCGTCAAAATCATGTCAAAGCTGGGAACCCAGTAGCATACATTTGTGAGATCATAGGAATTGTAGAAAAGTAGGGTTGGAAAGGACTTCCAGAGGTCATCTAGTCCAACTTCCTGCCTGAGGCAAGATCATCCCTATCCAAACCACCCCATACAAATCTTTGCTTAACCTATGACTAAAACTAGACGGTGAAGTCTGTTACACAACTATAAGGCATAGTATCCTGACCTGCCACTGATAAACAGGGGGGCAATGTCAGTCCATGTCCTGCTGTTGTCAGAGTTCTTAAATATGCTTGAGAGATCCAAGGAAGATGGCAAAATCCTCTAGGTAGGAATATCTGGGTTTCAGTCCCAGCAGAAGTGTTGGCACACTCCAGCTAAAATCCTCAGCCTTGGCTGTAGCCAACACCCAGTGTTTCTGAAGAACGTGAAATATTGAAAACCAAAGCTGTTCTTGATCCTGTCTATTCCTTTCCAGTATTGAATCAGTTCTTTATCTTGGTAAAATGTTTTATTGCTAGTTTAATTAATGTCTTGTAACATAGAATAAGCATAAGGAAAAATTTGGTTTGAAGTTGTAAATTTATATTCAGTTTGGTTTTACAAAACCTGACCTTTAATAACCCCCAAAATAGATCTGGTATGTCTCTATGCTTTTGCCACATTCATATTATGGCTTCTGTGTATTGTGGGAAGAGAGATGAATGTGACTTTCAGAGAGAGAGCGAGAGGGAGTGTTTACATATGAATTGCTGATGAAGGCCACCC